AATGTGGACTGGAAGTAAAAAATAAAAATTACATAACATGCACATACGTAGACTTCCTAGAGTGGAGGAAAAAATATTTACGTTTACCTTTGGAACATGCTGAAATAAAACCTCGTGACCCTGCTCTGTTTAGCCACAGAAAAGATATAACAATAGAGGCAACAGTCCAAAGTGCCCCCATTAAAGTTTTGTCTCAATCCAATCCTGAGGGAATAATGGTAGACAAACGTCCTACGTCTGCTGTTCTTTGGAACGCATGCTGGCAGTTTTAGATAGATCTGTTCAGCCCAGTTTTGAGTAATGGTTATTTGGTACTCATTTCTGTAACATGGATACTTGTTTGCTAGAAACTGAACAACAACCTAGCATGCTGACCAATATCTCATTGTTTCCTTGTACTTCCCTGTCTATCTGCTCTCTCTTGTCTCCGATTGTACACTCTTTTGGAAGGAGGTTTTTTGTTTTGTTTGCAACAGCACCTAGCACAATGGGGTCCCGGTCTATGACTGGGGCTGCTAGACTTTATAGTAATACAAATAAATTAATAATAATTTTCAGTTAGTGCTAATTCTGAATTAGAACTTGCGGCCAACACCAATTTAGGATGGATTCAGATGAAAAGGGTCAGTATCCCATTATCTGTGCCAGCCAGTTCTATAAAAATCAGTGTTTAAAGGGATATTGTCAAACAGAGAAAAGTGTTTTTTTTTAATTAAGCATACTCTATTTTTCTCTGAGGTATTACTATCTAAGAACAGTAACCAAAAGTTTACAGAAGAAGACTTTTTTTCCACTTTTAGACTTCTGAGCATTTGATAACAAAGCCAGTCATAGTCTCTTGTCACTATTCAGGTGGGTCCTTCACACAGCATGCAGGGAGAGAAAAAGAACATTAACAAATGCAACTGGAAAACCAAAGACAGTGGCAGAAGGACTGAGAGGCAGATATAGTAACTGAAGCCACTTGTAAGTGAGTGGATTTCAAGTTGAGTGCTACTTTAAGAGATGGCCCCAGGGCTTTAGTTAAGAGATTTTCTGCAAAGCAAAAAACAAGCAGCATGCAACTCCACATTTGGCCACAAGATAGAGCCCTTTAGATAAGCTATGCCTTACCATGGCACACATAAGCTGCAAGTTTCAGAGTAGCAGTTGTGTTAGTCTGTATTCGCAGAAAGAAAAGGAGTACTTGTGGCACCTTAGAGACTAACCAATTTATTTGAGCATAAGCTTTGGTGAGCTGCAGCTCACTTCATCAGATGCTGAGCTGTAGCTCACGAAAGCTCATGCTCAAATAAATTTGTTAGTCTCTAAGGTGCCACAAGTACTTCTTATAAGCTGCAAGCACATTCCACAATATAAACAAGTAGTGATATTTTACATTACCTTTAGCATTACAGATTCAACAGCAATAAAGGTTCACTCCTAGCTGATACTCACTAGGATGTATTTCATTTTAAAAGAGCTATTAACACTAAAGTTTACCTACATTACTTGTATCCACATAAAAGGGCAGTGTAAGAGTTTACTGATGGTATTTTTAGTATGAAACTTTAATATAGCTTGACCTTTTATGGGCCAGCTTCTCAGGTCCTTACTCATGATGAATAGTATCCTACTACACAAGTAAGGAACTCACTTGAAATTAATGGGATCCCTTAGGAATAAGGTGCTCTACAACCCAAGTCATGATATCAGAATCAGACCCTCAATGGCGGGAATTTCTTAAACTGTGAGAGGCGACTAATAAAAAACGATACCATCTGCATCTGCCCCTGTATCTATTCAGAGTCCCATGGAATCTGCTTACTTGAATGACAAAAATAAGTTATTGTTTTTAAGTTTCATTAGTCCTGCAGAGCCAACACAGCAAAGAGTGAGTGAGTTAGATGCTGTTCCTTCTCGGGCATCATTTATTGCAACTACAGAGCTATCCGTTACATTTGTGCAATCCTACAGAAAACTCTGAAGGTGCACAGGGATTGCTAGGGGCATAATCTGAATTTAAAACTGCACAGATGCATATGGAAGATTAGTTCGGACTGCATGATCTTTGTTGCAGTGATGTGTAGAAAAGAACAGTCAGATTTTGAAAGCTCAGGTTCAGCTAGCAAGGCTGGCACCAAGAAAAAAAACAACAACATGTATTTGTGATCCGTTCATATGTGATCTGGAAGTTAGCTTATGAGGCACAATCAACAAAACCCTGCAAGGCTGTTTTTAGAGTCACCTTTTAGAGTGTGACTGCACTAGGTTAAAAGATTCATATAATTTCAAAATATACTTCAAGACTTAGCAAGTGTAGAACATTTATGAATGTTTACAAGAAGTATCATCCGATCATCAAGATGCCCAGTGACCATATGACAATGTCACACAATGAGGTAAAGGAAACCATTCACAGTCCAGTGTCAACCCAGTCTCTCGCCACTTTGCCCAGCACAACCTAAATACAAGTGGACTTTCCATCTGGAAATAGTCTGCCATCACTCAACCTAAATGCCCTCTCCTTTATAAATAAAGGATCTAACAGTCTGCAGAATTAATGCATCCTGCTCTTAAGTTTTAAGAATGTTGCCAAAATGTTGGTTTCAATAACTGCTTGAGCTGGGGTAAGTTTTCAGGACTCTGTCAGGCATATAAAAAAGTTGACAGAATAGAGTTTTTTCATTACAAAGTGTATAAAATTGAACTTGCAGTCCCAGTTATGTCATTCATTTTAAAGTTTGAGAGACGTGCTGATCCAGATGCTTTATGCAATTCACTTTGGAGAGACAGTATTAGTCTTAAATCAGCTTTCACATCCTTCTACTTAAATTACATAGGTAAGTGGCCAAGAGAGGGCCATCCACAGCTATAATCATTACATTACAAAACATGGAAGAGAACTGATTAAGACAGACTCGTGCTTTGGTTTAAAGTCCTCTCAGTTTAAAAATCAGACAAAATCTTCTAAGCCCCTGCGTTTAGTCCCAAAATGAAGTACTAGGCTCTAGCCCCGGTATTCTGCTGATTGATAAATGCCCGCTTACAGCTTCGCTTTCCCTCACCCAGTAAGGAAGGGTAGGAGTAGCCAACGTAAATGGGATCCAGGTTGAGTTTCCCTTACAAAGAACGATGTCTAAATCTGCCAGCTTACATGTGCATGCTTCTTTTGGAAGAGCAGTGAACCTCAAGAAGTGAGTCTGTAAGACAATCCTGCTCATAAACTGCCAACAGTGTTCCCAGTTAGAAACTTACCCTCAGCTGCAGTAAAGTGAATTTTCCAGATGTCATCTAGCGCTCCTATTAGGCTGTAAACTCTTTGCTTACAACCAACAGATCACAACTCAGTCAAGGTGATTTTCACCAGAGTATTCAAAAAGCGATTTCCATTTCAATGAAAATTTTCAGCTGTTTTCCCCCCAGTCACTATACTATTAGAGCAGCTCAAAAAGCCAAGCGAATTTATGCCGTATTTTCCTCCCTTGTCTCCTCGAACGCACAGCCAAACCTTGGTTACATAAACTTTCCTGAAACTTCACCTTTGGGTAAAGAGCAAGCCTGAAAGAATCTCAGCCCAGTAAGTGAAAACCTGTGAAAGTTATCAGTGTCTGAAAACAAGTATTAGAATGCAAATGCTTGTGCCACCTTAGCTGTAGTGGTGTGTCAGTGAACTGAACCATTCAGCTCTCTTAACATACTTCTAATCATAACTATTGCTTTTTTCATTCTCTTTTCCATCCTTTACTCTTTTCCTCCACTTTTCTGGTAAATTTCCTGCTTGTTTTTTTCCATCACTTCGATCTATTCCCTCTTTTCTTCTCTCTCTCTGCGCTGTTTGTATTCCCTCATCCCCATCCCAGGCTCTTCCATCACTTATTTTCTATTGCTTAGTCATAGGCCCCCACTCTAATTCCTTCTCTTCCCCCAAGCAACCATGTTTCATCATTATAAAGATCCCAGTCTGTTCTCAGTGGGCCCTCACCTTGTACTCAATTCCAGTTTCTCCCTTTCTTCTCCCTGTGAAGGTGACATAGCCAATCTCCCTTCTCTTAGCTGTTTAGAGCATGGCAGGCGGTGAGAAAGGGGCAAGGAGTTTCCATGGGAACACAGAGGGTTCTCAACATACATAGTAAAGTTCACTCCTCAACTACAGATAGCACTGTCTGTCAGCCTGGTGCTCAAACCTTGGGATGCAGTGGAGCATTAAGCTGCTTACCCCGTAGAGTCACATGTATTACGTACACCCAGAAAGAAATAGCAGGTGGCTTTGAAGTGTTCAGCCAGCCCTTTTAGAAGCAATTTTGTGTGTACACAAGTCCATTCACTATTTCTAAGTCAAAAGAAACAGGACTGGTGGCTTGCAGGCCATAACACAAGCACCCGGACAGGAGAACCAGGCTAGTTTGCATTTGGTACCTGAAAGATCCACTGAGGCTAACTGATTTGCAAAATAGTCAATGAGCATCCAAACATAAAAGGAAAAGAAATCATGGACATTGAGTAATGAAGTGAAGTTGGGATTCATTTCATTTAAAAAGTGTAGTTTATAACTGGTAACATGGTACTTCGTACTAGTCTCATAAGTTTATAATACCCTATAAAATTAAGTGACTTCTCACAGTATAACTACAATGGTCTGCTATTGAGTCCTTGCCAAGAAGCGGGGCTAGAAGAGTGTGGACAGAGAGAGAGACTGGGTGGGGGACAGGGGACACACAGTGGTAGGAGCAAAGGTTCTGCAGAGTTTAACTGGGACTGCAGACTAGCAAACAATTAGGGAGGTTCTTTCCCACATAAGAACTCTGCACAGATATTATTGCATTTGTGGACAGGGAGAGGAGAGCTCTTTCCACCCTTGCATGAGTTAAGACTGTTCTCTCCCCCAAAGTCTGCCCATGTGGAGTTGATTGAAGAAAGTTGGGGAAATGGAAGAAAGTGATTACTTCACTCTGAACACAGTTACACTAAGATACTTTTTGTCTTAAATGCCATCCTTTATCATACGTAAATATACTCACAAAATCAGCTTCAAGTTTTCCTATTTCTTGTTTGTAGCTCCTCATTCTGCTGCTATACATTCCTCGGCTTTGGGCGGGGATTTCTCGAACTTCAAGTTCCATCTGTTCAAGCTAGTAATTGAAAAACAGGAGAGAGACTTAAGTTTATTTTATGTCCATCTACATCCTTGTTTTGTTCACATTTATATATGAAATTTCAGTGACAGCCTCTAGCTTTCAGCATGATCTTCTGATTACTTGTTCCTCCTTCTTGCTGATGCTCAAGGAAACGGCACAAAGTCAGAGTGAATCAGAAGTAATTTGAACCCAGGAATGGTGTAGTTACTAATTATTTGCTCTACCCATTGGACTATGCAGCCTCCTTAGTATGCTACTGCCTGTTTAGGAATGGTATTTTGCTACAGTGAAGAATCCATTATCTGCTTTTTAAAATACTGCTTTCAGTTCACTTAAAAAAAAAAAACACAGAAAAAAATTGTACCTTTCCATAATAGCGGTAGGCATGCTGGACAATAGTTACTCATTTTCCACTGATCTCAGCCAGGCAGTATGGCATGGGAAGAAAAATGTCTTCCATTTTGGTAAAGTCCCAACCTAGTATTTGCAGAATTTGGTAAGAGACAGATAAGCATTTATACAGAAAAAACTCTTTCCGGTGAGATTTCAGTATCATGCCACAGGAAAGGCACCTGATTTAATCAGTGGGTTTACAAAATAGTCATTTAAAAGCCATTCAAGCCTGATCTATTCAGAACACATATGCTACTGAATGGGAAGTTGGTCAGCATAGTTTCACTAAATAGTTTTCTGGTAAGAAAGAAAGAAATATATAAAGCAAGTTTTACTTCTATATTATTCTTTGTCTTAGGCCTAACTTTCCAAAACTGAAAGTTAGTGGTTGTAATTTAAATGGCTTGCATACTACCAGTTTCAGTGGACAGCTAAGAAAATCTGTCATGTGAAACCTCGTCTCAACTATAGAGATACTCAGATTTAAAAGATCGAAGGGAAAACACCTATGAAATGCAACTGGAAAGAATCTTTGTTCCTTTTAAAAAATAAGCAAACAAAAAAGAGCGACCAGGCCACCAAGCAAATTCTGTTGCACTGTAACCTGTTTCTCTGCTCAACCTCAGATCCTTTTACTCAAGTCCTACGTACCATCCAGGAGAGTTGAAGATCACTATCCTGGGACATTTAGGCCCAATCACAAAACCAATAGTGCAGTTTTTCATAACAAATTTTCAAATGAGACCCTAGAAAGGGAAGGGGATTGACTAGATGGGCCTGACAGGGGTTCCACCAAAACATTTATCAAAGCTGTGTATGGAATACGGCTCGCCTTAAAAGTAACTTCCAGAATTTGGATTTCAGTAACTGTTTATCTCAGTTTGATTTAGTGTTCCTCCAAGAAATTTGGTTTCTAAGTATGAGTCCGATTCATGGGGCTTTGAATCTGTATTTGAATTCTGAAGAGGGTGTTAAGCATGCAAAGAGGGGTAAACCTGCAAATGGTCTTGCCCTGCTCATCTCTAAGTTAAATGTTATAACTAGTAAATAACACCAGGCAATCCCTATTTTCAAGCCTCTAGTATTATTTTCCCAAATAAATGTACTCCATTAGCCCTGCATATACATTTGCCCCTTTGAGCTACCCTTTCTATAGTGCCTTTCTGAGTAGGGCTTGAATCTCTCATTGATTTGCTTATGGAAAAGTTTTCATCAGCGATCTTTGTTCTTTTGGGAATTTTTTATGACCAACCAAGTTCTGGGGATAAGGAATATTTTTAGTTTTTCCCCTACCTCATTTAACAGGGTGTGATCTTCACTTCCCCCAGACATGCTAAGGACAAGGTAAGAAATACTCCAGGTTGTAAATTTTCTGTAATTTTAAGTGATTTTGCCTGGAGACTTTGAATGGTAGGGATGGTAATGACCTGGAGGGTCATTTTACACTCATCTTCTAGATGGGGCAATGTGTTTGACTATATTGCAATTTCTATTTTAAGGTGGTCTCGTTTCTCTAGTTTTATAGTGGCTTTTACAGACAGTGATCATCAACACCTGGAGGTGAATTTCTGCCCTTCAGCCACGTTTTCCCAAAGGGATTTTGACAGATTGTTTTACTCCTAATTTTGAAAGTGTAACTCAAGGTATATTAAGTGGAATCTGTTATTTGGAACAGTGATTAGGGCACAAGCCTAGGACTTAGGAGACCAAGTTCAGTTCCCTACTCCACCAAAAGGCTTTAAAAAGACTTCTTATATCACCATTGGCAAGTCACTTAGGGAATTAATATAGACACTATCCGTAAAAATAGGGTTTCTAACATTTGCCAACTTTGCAGAGATGCTGTGGATAAATATATTAAAGATTGAGAAGCAATTTGAGATCTAATGAGAAGCACTAGATTGCAGTAGTAGTAAAGCCTCAAGTCGGAGAGAAGCTCGTACCCAGTGATGTGTCAAGTTTTGAAGAATCAGCTTTTTGGATCTTAATTCTCGAGCACAAACACAAACTGAGATTGTTAAATTACAGGATGACTACCATTTAAAAAAAAAAAAGATCTTTTATCCTTTAGAAGATAAGAGAATCTGTCATGACTCGGATTGCTTCAGTTTACAAAAAACAGTTTCAGATTGCAAGGGCTGTGAGAAATAATAGTTCCTCTTATCCTATTAAGACATTAGTTATCCTTAGAAACAACTATAAAAAAATGCTGAATAAGAAAAAATTGGATCATCAAAAGGTCCTTTGGAAGAAATGTGAATTCACTGCCACAAACAAACCAAAATCTCCTCTATTTTGGATGATGGCAGCAATGGTCTACTACAAGACTAACGGAAAAATGGGCGTTCTTTCCAAAGCATGTCTGGGGTGAAACATTTTTCTGCCTTGTATAATAATAATCCATCTATTAACCCTTTGGTTTGGTCTACCTTGATGGACCTCACCTGCTATCCTTATCCAGAATGGCCGACAGTCTCCACCATGGAAATCAAAATTTTGATAAAACCAATATAATAAAGGGACGATTTTATCCCAGCAGAAGTCTGTAAGGACTATACTGTTTGATGGGCCCCTGCGTTAGCAAAATTATTTACTAATAAAAATAAATAGGGATTGTACTTCCCCACCAAAGGTGACAAATGACCCTAGAAATTATTGACCTATTTACCTTTTAGACATGGTTTTTAATATCCATACCAAGTATCTCCTGTGGAGATTAGAGGACTGGAAAGAGCTGTAATTTATTTGTTGAGGAACAAGCCGATTTCAGGAAGGACTGCTCTACCAACAGTTATTTTGCCCTCTCTGACCCAATTTATAAACTTTGTTCCTCCAAGAAGGGAAGTTTTATTCAGCCTTTGTTGATCTGAGATCAGATTTTGATTCCATTAAGAGAGAGTGTCTCTGGGATAAATTTGTGAGGACTTGCATAGTTTTTAAGTTACTCTCTCTTTTGAGAACCCTCCATAGCCAAACAATGGCCAGGGTTAAAGATATGATCAGTTAGGGTGAAAAGTTGAGCTATCTCCATCATTATGGGAGTCTGTCTGAGTTGCTTATTGGCTCTCACTTTCTTTAGTTTTCACATTAAATGAGCTTGCAGCAGTTTTAGAGGGGGAACAGTATATCCTGCTCAAAATTTTGGATTAATCTGCATTGGTCCTTCTTTATGCAAATAACATGGTTTTGCTGTCCCAAACTATATATAAGCATTGCATAAGTTTACATGCTTCGGTGAAAAAGAATGATGTTTCTTCCTTGCTGTCATCATGAGAGTAGACAAGCAGATTCCACCCCCCCAGCTGGTAACTTTTCATGAATATCGTTCGAGGCATGCAGTATATATACACACTATAACAGAGAAACAGATTTCATTCTGCAGCTATTAAATATAATCACATTTCATGCTTAATCAGATTTCAGCATACATGCTTACAAATATTGGTCTTTCAAATACAATCAAGGTGAGTGAAGATAGATTTCAACTTTTTTTCTTGAAAAGCATGAAAAAAGAAAACTGTAGGTAAACTTAAAAAGTATCTTTGCCCTACTATTACTTGTTCAATCATAATGCAATGGAAGCTAAAGGAAAAGTAGGTAACATGTAATCCTGGGAGATACAGTCTTTCAGTTCTTACAGTGCAATGGTGGAGACAGCTGTTCAGAATCATTCCCACAACAGAAGTATTACTGTCTACTCTTATTTCATAATCAGGAACAGATTATAAATTTAGACAATAGGAAAATATAGCTACATCTCTTGATTCATATATGTTTCAACTTAACCTACCCATACCCTCATTGGCTAAGAACAAAGCTTAGGAATAGACCACAGCAAGCTTAGAAGACCACACAGCACAACACTCCTGCCCATTTCTGGTACAAAACTTAGCCTATCAAAAGTGATGTGTCCTTTAGTTATTAGTTTTTAGAATATCTTGATAGTCAACTGCAAAAGAACAAAGAATGGGCAAATTACTGAAGTGTGCTATAGGGCCAGTATACACTGCCTCCTCTCCCAAAGCTCTGTGCAGACTGATTCTCTCAGAATTTACTATGCATAGAGGAGGTTTCCCCCCCGCCCCAAACAAAATATCAGATTTACTGGGGAAAGAATTGGATGCCACAGGATGGATGCAGTGAGCAAATAAATCCGTGGTTCTCAGCTCGGGGGCCGCTTGAGACCCAATCACCTCACAGCTGCAGCCCATGTGACATCGTCACAGCCATACAGGTAGTATATATATTGTGTGGATGCAGCCCACATAACACACAGAGAGCTGCTTATGCAGCCCATAACAATAAATGGGTTGAGAATCCCTGAAACAAATTAAAAATACAACCGGTAACAAAATGCTTTATCTCAACCAGGAGCAAGAGTTACACATTTTACCCAATTTTCCTACTTTTTTAAAAAACAGATTTCTAATGCAGTAATTCATGACAATCACATACTTGCACATGATAGGTATCCAATAATATGCTCTATTTGGTGTCTGTCCTTGTACTGTGTACCAGCTGCCTTCTCCTGCAGGTAACAGCAGACCTGCTCTCCTCTAGTCAATGCAGCTTAAAGGAGAGAAGCACCCCAATATTCAAAG